TGAGGGCGAGTGCTGTTGTTCAAGTAAAAAAACAAAACCAAAACCTGACCAACTGAAAACTGTCCTCAAATAACAAAAACAGATAAAACATAGTAAGACTTCAGATATTGCCAAATAAAACTATACAGTGAACTCAAACACTTAATTAAATCTTTCCTACAGGCATTTACATATTTACACACTGCTCATGAAGTATAAAATGATCCCACAGTTCTGTGTTTCATCTTTTAGTCGACTTGTTTCCAACACATCAACACAAAGTTTTTCTTAGTTTTTGGAATGGATGGTAGAATAGAGCTCATATCCTGGAAATGATGTCTCATTTTGGAGAGAAGTGTCGCGAATTGTTTGGACTATAGTTTGGATCAGAGGATCATATATTAATGTAATATCACAGACAGGTTTATGTCAGTCCCCCATCTTGCCACTCCATGTGGCATTAATTATGAAATCAAGCAAAAGACCTCCCAGCATCCAAAGCAGCACAGAAAATAAACCGAGCTAAAGGAGTTTTTTGCTTGGCTTTACAACAGGTCTGTGATGGTGACGTTTCCAATTTGTCTTTCAGGCTCCTGCTTCTCTAAAGATTTGTGCTTTGACAGTTTGGCGGGAGGTCTGATCATCGGTGGTATAGCCTTCTTCTTTGTCCTGGTTCTGCTCATCTGTGGCTTCTGTTCTGTTCGGAGAAAAAGAAGGTCTGCAGCTGTGTTACACCAGGAACCGAGTGAGGAGATTCCTGTGGAGAACGTTTCATTCCTAAAAAACCCAGTGGACCATATAAACGGGACGACTCATCAGCAATTAGTTTGATCAGAGTTTTGATGACTTAGTTTTGATAATTAATGTTCAGCTTGGTACAACCCTTCAAGTGTGGGAATAGCACAGCATAGAAGTAAAACACTTGAGAAACACACCAAAAGATGGATGAATGAATAGACGGATGAATGAATGGTGGATGGATAAATAAGAGAAGTATGAATTATGTTTCAAAGCCATTCCTAACTGGCTCTTTTCCATTAATCAGCTGTCGGCTGAACATTTGCCTTTCTGGTCTACTGTGAGAAACTGGTCAGGCTCAATTGTTAGATTGATGATGAAAGAAGGGGAGGGGGGGGGGGGGGCGTCAGGGGGGCTTAACGAAAAAAAAACCCCCACCTCAGTACCCTTAAGCACAGATACAGTCAAATCACAACATCTAGGACAAATAGGGAGGGAGGGATGGGGGGTTGGAAAGAAGGAAAAAGGTAACAGTGAGGCAGTGAGACCAAGGAATGCATGAAGTCTGTACTTGTGTGTGTGTAAGTGTAAGCGGACCACCAACTTCTCCAAAGTGAAAGAAGAATATATAATGAATGCATGTGTTGTGTGTTCTAAGATCTTTATTATATGCCTAAAGAATGACTTTAATATATCTTGTACAGTACAAATAAACAGATTCTTATTTATTTGCCTTCATGCTGCATGTGTTGGGGATCGACTCCTTCCTTTTAGTGTATTTATTTTATTTTATGAATCAGTTTTTCTTTTTTTTTTCTCGATGAAATACTTAAAAATGGAGGTCTTTCTGACCTTTACAAAGTCTGGATATATTTCTGTTGTTTTCATTCATGTGAGCAGGTGTGATCATCTGGCTAATTATTTCTCTGGATCTACAGGAATAGGAAGTTTTTTCTTTAAATAAGACAGTTAAAGTGTCTGATGGCTAATCTGAAATGACTCATCTTACTTTAATTGTATTTTTAGGCCTGTGGGGAAAAGGTTGAGTGTTTTTCTTACTGTTAAGTAATCTTGCGGTGTAAGACCGGTTCTCAAGGCCAAACAAGTGTGCGATATTACACAGCTAAAAATTCCCCGGCAGCATGTTATTGTGTCACTCTTTGCATGTTATCACGCCTTGAATTTTCACTGTTTATGTTTTGTTTTTATTTGCTTAACAACAGTCAAGAGTGGCGCAAACATAAATCAGGATAGTCTCTCTTCTTGGTCTTCTTCGTGTGTGTGTGTGTCAAACAGGTGCATTTCTTATCCGACCAAACGACCTGTTGGTGACAAACTGGGATTTAACAAACAGGTGACCATTAATTGTGCTCCTCTGGTCCAGGAGGTTTGACTTATTTTTCTGAATCAAGCTAAAATAAGGGACAAATTTAACTCGAACTACAAAACTTTTTAAAACTTTCAAATAATTGTGACATCACCAGTGTCTATTTTTAATGAAGGAAATGTTTTTGTAGCTTTGGCATCATCATTTTGACCCTTCATGATGAAACGTTAAGAAATAGTGCCAGTGCCACTTTAGCTAATGATGTGCTCATCGGGTTGTATCCATTGTATCTGCCTCACATTTCCCATGATGTTTAGCAGAAGAAATGCTACTCCATCGGGTTACCAGCAAACACATCACCATAAATCTAGCTAAATCCTGAAAACTCCTGCAATTTTCTAAAAGTCCTAAAAAAGCCATTCATCAAGTTCCTCTCTGGGCCAACACTGTTGATTTAGATAGAGGTACCATTAACAGACTGCAAAGAATATTAGATTGGATTATACTTAGATTGTTTTACTTAGAGCGGTGTTAAAGCCGGAGACATCTAAACCTTTCAGGCCTGTTTGAGATTCCTGTTATATGTGCATTTTACAGAATCCAAACCTGTGTAAAATCTGCCCATCTGGTGTACAATTGTGCAGCCTCAGCGTGGACTTTGTGTCTTTCTTCATGTCAGACTTGCTGTGGACTAACTATTTCACTGGAGGACATTAAACGACCATTTAAACCTGAGATTTTCCTAAAATGTGCATAAATTTGAAGGGTAAGCCTAATTTTTAGGGGTCTATTTGATTAGCACATGTAAAGAATGTTCACTTCTCATGCCTTTACATTCCAGTTACTGAAAAACAAGAAAACAGGAAGTCCCTGAGCAGAGAATACTGAGAAATTGTATGATGACGTACATACCAGTAAAAAAAAAGTTAATTCATGTATGTGTTAGAACATGTGACTGGGTTTGTTAAACAATTTCTCCTACGGAATGTTTTTATCTATCCATCTGTAAATGTGGTGTACTGTGGTAGTTTTTTTTCTACAGTTCTCACACATCGCTTGTGTCTTACAAGCTGCTGCTGGATATTCACTATACAGGTTTCCATTCAGAGGACAAATAAAATCACGTTTCATGTCTTGTGAAGTTTCATCATAATTTAATAATAAAGATACAACGAATAAAGTGCAGAACAGAAAAAGATAACGCAAAGGAAAGAAGTTTGTTTCAAATAAAACCACTGTAGACCATGATTTTTCCTACTGGATAGACATGATGGCAATTTAATCTTCATGGTAAAATGTGGACATTTGGGCAATCTGTAGTCTAACAGAGGCCTTTGTAAACAGGATTGGTCCCGAGGCAGATCACTGGAGCTGTAGGACGTAAACCACAGCAGAAAGCCTCCTGAACACCAGCTTTGCTCTTTAACTCTTTAATGACCATTTGTTATTTATAATTTAGTCTATTTTGTGTTGATCCCTAAATGAACAGGTAAATGTGTCTTTACCAACTACTGTGTATTATTTAAACTCACCTAATTCAGCAGGCTAGTTGTTATAAGACTATATTCCCTTTTCAACATGAGTCTGTAAGTAAGTAGGCTAAATTACTTTAAACTTTAATGCATGCATTGGTATCGGATCGGAAGTGCAAAAGGCTGGATAGGGATTTCCTATCAAAAAGCTTAAGAAATTTTGGCACAGAAAAGAGAGAGACAGTTTTGTGTGATAAGAAAGACATGGCAAAACTACTACTTTGCTTCTCCTAAGCAGGGCCCTGCTGAATGCTGAACTTCTCAGAAGAAACGTCAAGCAGCAGCTGGCTTTCGGGGGGATTGTCAGCCCTGTAAACAGAGAAGAGACATTCAGGGACCTGATGAGAAAGAAATGAGGGAATACAAACTAATAACTTAAGAGCAACAGCAGAGCATCCTCAGGACTAAACTTGGAGTTCGGAGGACTCAATTTACAGCTCAAGCCTGTTCAGCATAGAACCGTGGACATGCTTTGTAAAGGTGGAGATAAGACAGCTGGACTGCAGGATTTTCAGCAGAAACAGTCTCCAACATCACAGTAATTGGCTGAAACAGCCATAAAAGTACAGTATTTTAGACACTATAAGGCACATCTAAAAGCCACCAATTCTCTCAAAACCGAGTGCGCCTTATAATGCCGTGCGCCATAAATATTGATCAGGACTGAGTCGCAACAGGTCTCGCGACTACGGGAAGCAGCCGGCGACTCATTTGTCCAATAGAACAAGTAGAAGTAGAAGAAGCTTGCGCGGCGAAGAGGCGTCACTTTCTGGGGATTCCGCAGCAATGTACAATGTACACATGTATGAGTAGCCATTTTAAAAGTCGACGCAGTGAGAGAAGGCGGCTATTAAAAAAAGGTGGACATTTAAGGTAAACGTTGAATCTGATCCCAACTACGACAACAGGTAGTTCAAATAATTCTATACTGGCAGTTTTGTTTTCTTTAGGAGAAAAGCTCATCAGCTTTATGCCAGCTTTTACATATTGTGCTTGCACTAATGTTTGATTTACCGTAACGCTCTCAGACTGTTTCTTTTATGTGTTTACTGAATGGAGGACATTACCTCAGGAAAAAATAATAAAACAGCTGTGTATTAATTTTGGGAGTGAATGGAGTTGTCAGAAGGCTGGTTTGTATTCTATTAATAAAGTCTGGCTGACTGTTTTGTTGGCATTCTCTTTAGTGCAGCTGCATCTAGTGGATGCACAACGCAACCCCAGCCACTACTGGGGCTTTTAATCTTTGCGCCTTAAAATCTGGTGTGCCTTAAAATGCAAAAAGAAAATGGTACCGTTTACTCCACTAAAAGGTAACTGTCCTTAATAAATGTCATGCTGTCTTCATTAGACAGGCAGCAGACGCCCTAAAATGTCCCTCAGACTCTTATTTCACTAAAGTCACTATGAGCTTTAAAGAAACTGGTGCGAGTTATTGATAACTAACAAACCAGTGAACCACCAGAGAAACAAAACAATTCTTAAATCTGTTAACGTAAAGCAATTTATTCTCCTGAGGAGTGTGTTAATTAAAACTGAATCAGACTGGATTAGAGCAGATAAAGCACCAAATGTGAGACCTGAACTTGAAGTGGTTTAAAAAGCTGAAACCTGCTTTGTTACACTTCCAAATGAAAAGAATAAGGTTAGTGTTAATAATTCAGTGCATTTGAACTTGTTTCATTGGCATTATAGCACAGAGTCCTCTGTGGTCAGCCAAAAACACATCCAAGGCTACTCTATTTTGCCATGTCATAACAGATGTGGGTCTCAATTGTCCAGCTAAACCTTCAAGTACACCAGAAGTTAAATTAACAAACCTTTCTTGGTTATAGAAAGGATGATTTATCCAGTCAACATCTTCATTGATTGTGGGCCAAACATAGATTCAAAAGCTGCTGCTATTTGATCTCTGGCTTTGTATTCATTCATTCATATTCAAACTTCTCTGGGAATAGCATCCATGCACACCTGGCTATCAAAACTACCAGGAGTACTAGATCTTTTTTTGTCTATGAGGAAGATGAAGAGAAAAGGTCAAATGCAATCTTAACGCAATAACAAGCATGATATGGGCACATCTTCCGGTCCAACCATGGGGCAGGTGAGTATACCCCTTACTCTCCCCACATTACCACACTGTGTCAAGTGCAGCACGCATGGAGCGTAATGACAAGTGAAGAAGAGCATAGGTTGGAGAAAAATTGCAAGTGGGTGAAAAAACAAACAGTTCTTCGCATTTAAATTTGAAGTAAAAGTGGATACACTCCTAGTGACAGTGACATTACATTCTGAGTGGGAAATAATGCCCACCGGCACTGTAACAGTGTCAGCGCTACCGAAAGATTCATAACATACCAAATAACTGCCTGATGACTTTTTCAGGGTGTATACGTGGGCTATCTAAACGAGTATGCATGCACAAAGGGGGGCAGTAATGACAACATGGATCTCCCCAACGACATTCCCACTTCTAATCCAACTGGTCCTCATAATCAAACAGTGAGTGAGACAAAGGAGGTAGGTGCCTGTGACATTTTCCCTATTGCGCTGCTCAGATAATAGAATTGAATTTGGGGAAAGTATGCCGTCTCATTATATGTGCGTTTAGTGCAATACACCTGTGAAGAACAGGTGAATGAAACCCCTTCACCAGGGATACCTGTACAAGCAACGGGCTCAGCATCAGGACTAATTGCTTACTGATCTAGCTGTGTAATTTGCCAATTGATATCAAATACTGTCTCCAATTCAAGGCTGTTGCAAAGGTTTTCCCTTTTCTGAAAACGCACTTGATGTTTCACTGTAAATATTCTACAGTTTTTATGCTTTGGCCTTGGTATAAGTAGTCATGATAGGAAGATGAATGTTTTGTTTTGTGACTAAGAAGCTAGTTGTTTTTCTGGCTTCACTTCACAGTATGTGAAACACAAATCATCAGCAACCCATACAAGTCCAAACAGAACAGTTTTTACACAAAAAGCCACACAATAGAAGGAGGGATGCAAGAATCCAGAAGGCCGTAAAACACCGAGCTCCTATCTACACAGGTAATCCTACACAAACTAAAACAGAACCCACTGAACATTTTCTTCAACTCCAATCTGGTTTAAATGGATAAATTAAAGTTTTTCACAGAAATCTTTTATTTGGTTTTGATAACGACTTTCAGAGGTCAAATGACTAGCCAAAACATCTGTTTTCATGTTAGCTCACATTTAGTACATCATCGGAGGAATAGGTCCTGCTTCCACGTCCTTCTACTGGCCACTACCGGGATTCCTCCCGTTTGCATTGCTGTTGTTCTGAAACACAAAGCCACGCAGACACTCAGATTAGTGTTCTGTGGATGAAGATGCTGAAGAGGAGCAGCAGCTTCTGGTTTTGTCTTGGTTTTTTCTTAAATCGGGATCATCTTACAACGTTAGTGTGATTTACAGGTGGCCTCTGTTTGAATTATAAAAACAAGCCCATAAACTTCCAGGCTGGGTTCACCCACACAAAGGAAAGATCAGATAGAGTAAAACGTTCTGAGCTCAGCAAAGCTTAAAATTTGGTTTCATGATTAGTGGTAAACCAGACGTGTTTTTTTTTTTTTTTTTTTTTTATCATTTAACTTTTTATTAGTTTTTTCCATTTTTGCTTACATATACAATATACATGAACACTTTACAATCAACATAACATAACAAAACTTTGGCTTGGGAGCTGTTCCTCTATTTGACCTTAGTTCCATCTAGTTTGTCTAGTTCTTTATTTCTTGTCGCTGACTTTTGTCTTGAATATTGTCCATTTCTTCCACTTCTCTTCCATTTGTGTTTGCTGTAGTCTCAAACGATGTGTCAGTTTTTCCATAATGTAGATTTCTTCTATTATTCCAGTCCATTGTTCTTGACAAGGGGGATCCGCCTTTCCCCATTTCCTCGTAATAGCTTTCTTGCTAGCTATTAACAGTATCTTAATCAGATACCTGTCTTTTGCCCTTACTTTGATATTATTAAAATTGCAAAGATATAGTACCACACTACTCATAGGGATATCATATCCCAGAACCTTCTCCACTGTTACATGAACATTTTTCCAGAATTGGACATACCTCCCTTGTCTTTCGGTAGCTGAAGAGTTTCATATTTAACTCTAGGTTTTTTTCCGCCCCAAATTAATCTTGATATTATCTTATCCCAGGTCGCAAATTGTGTTTGAGGAACCTCTATTGGTAATGACTGGAACAAGTATAGGAGTTTTGCTTGCACATTCATTTTAATAGTTTCAATTCTTGAATTCAGATCTAAGGGCAGAGTAGTCCACCTATCTATATCTTTTTGTATTTCTTGGCTTATTTTATCGTAATTTGCTTTGTAAAGTGTGGATAACTCTTTAGTGATGTTGACCCCTAAATACTTAATTTCCTTCATATTCCATTTGATGGGAAAAGTTTCCTGAATTTCTTTCAAAGGAATGTAATTGAGTGTTAGAATTTGTGTTTTAGTTACATTAATTTTATATCCTGAAAGATAACCATACTTTCCAAAGAGATTCATCAGCGCTGGTAGTGATTCATTCGGCTGTTCAAGAAAAGTTATTATATCGTCTGCAAAAAGCCCTATTTTGTGTTTTTCTCCATTTACCATAACTCCCTTAACTTTATCGTCTAACCAGACGTGTTTAAAACACAAACTGCACCTCATTCTCTTCCTCGATTTAAAATACCTAATGACCTAATCACAGTTTTTGAGAAACTGCAGGTTAAGCATCTCACTGTGTCTGTCAGAGGTTTCCAGGAGCTGGTGGTAAAAGGTAAGCAGGAACCCTGAGGGGGATTCCTGTAAACAGATGAACCATTCAAAATGCCCCAAAGTCACACTGCAGGCCTGGTTATTTTCACAGCTTACCATCTGACGTCTGTAGTACAGCATCACTGCAATGATGAAGAGGAGTCCCAGTAGTAAGACAATGGAGACGGTGACAATGACAGAGATGCCCTGCTGTTCAGTAGAACCTCCTGTAAGTCAGAGAGAAGAAACAACACTTAGACTTAAACAGATACACAAACCTCAGCTTTGCTGTCCACATTCACCCAATGAAACTCAATGAATGGCTCAACCCTCTGATGACAAGCCACCTGGTCCATTTTCATTTTTTGTTTTTTATTCAAAAGCTGTCATAAATGTCACAGATGTAAAAAATATGGCCCACAATTATTTTTTGATTAAACACTAAAAAAATCCAATTGAGATTTGATTCCCCCTGATTCAAAATGTACACAAACAAAACATTTGAGATTACAAAAATGAAACCCATCTTATTTTACATTTTGTGATTACATGTACATTTTCCTTCAACCTCCAGTGTTCAAAATGTGGATCCTCTTATATGGCATATTTTAACTGCAGCTTTGTACTTTAAAAATACTCAAAATCAATTTGTCACCTATGTCACTTAAATATTTAATCTACTCACAAAACAGAGCTGAAAGACTCTATGAATTCCACTTACTCTGCATGTGCTCCTACAAAGTAGCGGGTGTCACTAGACATATTTCTGAGCCTTAAAAAAGGATTATTTTTCTTTTTCCGTTTGGTTCCAGGGCCAAATAAAGACCCTGGATTGAAAATATTAGAATTGCCTTTATTAGTGATGTCAGTGAAGGAAGTTAAAAGGGTTGAGATGCAGATCTTTTGTCGTATGACTGCAACACATAGTTCAGAGGAACAGTTTCCTTTGGAGGATGGAAACATTTCAATCAAAGAGGAAACCAGGTTTAGACAGAAAGAGGTGTGAATGGGTCTTAAAGAGTCGGTAAGATAACACGGCAACGGATCAAAGTGAGGGCATTAATCCAGTCAGACTGAGGAGGTGACAGCTGACAGGTCAATTACAGAATGACACTTACCCACAGCTGGAGCCTCGGGACATGCTGTAAATGGAGGATAAAATCAGGGTTAGTGGAGTAAATTAATTATACTGAGATGGATTTCTTCGTCTGGTGAACAAACACTGAGACTCGTATTATTGTTTCTAATCAGCCACTTAGCCTCTGGGGCTAGCCTTTATGCTAACTAATCATTATCAAAATCTGAATAACTTCTGACTTTTCTGTAAAACCAGAGCTGAGGCTGGTTACCTCTGACACTGTAAGTTATGATTGGAGCTCACCGCTTCTTAAAATATCGACGGGTCTGTTTGTATCCTCCAGCGTGACGCTCACTTGGCTCGTCAGGTTGCTGCAGATGACATATACCACCTCAAAAAGCTTACAGAGGAAGCACCGGAATTCAAAGGGGTATGGCTGGGTGCAGTTGGGCAGGGTGGTACCCCCATTTCTCTCCCAGAGATTGCCATCGTCTCTGTTCTGATCGAACAGAAGGGTTGAGTTTATGGCTGCTGGGTCGGAGGAGTTAAAGCAGGTGAGAGTCATCTGCAGAGGACAGGACACAGAAAACAGGCTGGTGTGAGCGCAGTGATTAAAAGCAGGGTCTGAGAGAGCACCGACACACTCTGCTGTGAAATTCTGGGGTACATCTTACACTAATTTCCCCGGTTAGTGCAGCGAACCTGGCCAGACAATGGTGAAGCGTACTGATGTTTTCATAAGAATTTAGTCTTGTACAGCCCTTTGCATTATATTCTGCACACAAATCCTTTCTGAAACACGTTAAGAGTTTCGGACAGGCTAAACAAAATGAGCTCTTACAAACAAGGTTTTACCCATGAAATAACTCAAAGGTGGTAAAATTAGAATTAACAGCAGCGTAAGCATTAGCATGGACAATAAACACTCATAAAGTCCACACATAACTCCACATAAAACACATTTATGTAACAGATCTTGTTCCCAATTATAGCCAGGTGCTTAATACATATATTTAGAAACCTTTAGGTTATTTTTATCTTTTACATCCACCATCTCAAAGTCATACATAACCCCATAAACCAGTTGTTCAACTTTTTTCCACTGACAAGCCCACCTCCACACACACACACTTTTTATGACACCTTCTTTTTGCCCGAAAATATGACATGCGTTTACAGTTTGGGGCAGTTACACCTTTATTCTCAAAGAGTGGTATGAAAGCTCCCTCTAGTCTAGTGGAAGCAAAAGAAATACTTTATAACACCTTATACTTGTCATAGATTTGTGACTTTTCGTTCTAATGTTTTTTATGTTTGCTAATTTGTTGGAAAAATGAAATTTGGATTATATGTGACCTAGATCAGAATATTTTCTGAAGAAACAAAAATACCAATGGTTCTGTCAGCTTCGTGAGTGTGTGCGCGCTGAGGTAAAAAAATACAGATGCTAATGATGTTCTTGCTAGCTGAGTGTAAAGAGGTTCAGCACCTTGTTAGTATAAACGTGTCTGCTGTACTGCTATTGTTGCTAATAATGTGGCCGACAACAATTATCAATAAATAATCCTCACATTTGGTCGGAAATATGCCCCCTGTATGAACAGTAGCTAATAGGATAAGCCTTCGCTACTGCAGGTTCAGGTTGCTATTGGTACCTTTGACAAATTTAGTGACTGCTCATAGCTTGACACCATCTAACGAGTGTCCAGTCTTAAATACATTTAAAATAACATTTTATTCATTCTGTAAAAGTGCAATAGTCAAACTGAAATGTCTTTGTTTTTATGTATCCATCTAGTTCCCGGGTTAAATTGGATGGCTGTATACTCGAAGCGAAGTTTGCTTTTACCTGTCTTTGTTAAGACGGATCCTGAGTTCAATTGATTTTTATATAGCATCACTCACCTCTTGCTTAGCCTGGCGGGTGCTCCGCTTTGGTGGTGCAAGTGTCCTTAAAGCATCCTACACTTTCTCCTCCCCAAAGGCGGAGCCCGACCAAGACATCGTTTTTAGATGATAAAACTCCCCAAATCCTCTGGCTCATCAAGCAGTATGCCCACTATTTATCACAACGATACCCCAAAAACAGCTTCGAGTTAATTTTTTTCCAAGGGATGGGCTGAAAACAGGCAGTTCCGTGGCGTCGCGGCCTCTCCGTAAAGGCTTTCTGGGATGCGTTTTTCCACCAATAAAAATCCAAAACAGACGGCGAAGGGGAAATTAAGCGCGAAATATCCAATGTGACCATATCCACAATCCACAGGCTGATAGAACCGGTAAATACGTTGAAAAACATTTTATGCGTACGGTATATCCGGTGTACCTTTAGCAGTGTACTTCAAGGTCATGAGCGCGCGCAGCAACTGCTGACGTCACCGTTTCTTAGACCGGAAAGGATGATCAAACCACTAGCGGCAGTTCAAAGGAATAGCCTGGAGAAGGATCTACAATCTTTGATCCACTGGATCGCCTTCTGATTTGTTGCATTTGGTAGAAGTGGGGTTGATGTTGAGGCCTGCTGCCGGAGTATTTAAAGCCTTCTCTCTTATTTTTAAGAGTACTGATTTATTACTTTATAAAAGCGTAAACATGAAGATAAGCTTATACATTGTAATCTGTCAGTCTCATCAGAAAAAACATTCTTGGAAGTAAAGAAATTTAGGCTTATAATGAAGTTTTCTGTCAGTAGCTTTAATAAAAATATTCCTGATATGCAAACGTTTTATATTACAGGTTTAGTGTAAGCATTTTTAAAAAAGGGGAAAAAAAGAAGAGGATTGAGATATTTGATACTGACCTAAGGAGTCTTGCACATTAATCATCTTCAAAGCACCAACAATGATAAATCTTAATGTGAGAATTATGGTCAGACTCACTGACTATGAGAAAGACATACAGATATTTAATGTAATTTCAGATGCTCTAGGATTAAAAAGTGACCTCAGTTTGAGTTCTACTTTTTCTACATTAAAGTGCTCCATAAAGATGGAAGAACGAATAAAGCGTCAAGAACTCCTAACTTTCTGTGCGAGGAGCTGCAATAAATCCTCCAGCAAGCCAAAACACAAAAACAATATCTGCTTCTGAAAAGGAAGTTTTATCCATGTCTGAAGTTTTAGTTCCTTCAGATTTCAATCCAAAATAAAAGGTGTTTTATTGCATTTCAAACAGCAACACATAAAAACAGACTTTAAAAACAGATAAAACCAGGAACTTCACACGATCCACCATGAAAACATTTAAACCGGTCCCCCTGTGGGAGGAGCCATTCAGTCAGCCTTGAGGGCGAACAGCACATCGTCCTGGCTGACGTTCAGCCGGACGCGCTGCAGGATTCCCAGGCGGCTGGACTCCAGCAGCAGCAGCCTGCAGGCGCCCAGACGCTGACACAGACTCAGCCCCTCCGACATGCTGACGGGCGGCAGGCCCTCCACCCGACACAGAGCCTGGTGCTGTACAAACACCTGCCGGGCCCAGCACAGGAAACACTTAAGACACCACAGAGCCAGATGTCCGGGCTTTCGATCCCATTCAAGAACGTTCATTCAAGCCACAAAACAACCAGTGCGATAATAAACTAACCACCATCAGGACTGAAAGCGGAATTACAAAAGATATAAATAACTGAATAGTACTATTAAAATAAAAAAAACCTTCTAACATAAATCTAACTTTGGAATTCTAAACAAAATCATTTTTAATTTATGGTGATTCTGCCATTAAGTCACTTTTTCAAGTTGAATTACTGGAATTAAATACATTTTAAAAATCTGTCAATCCTGTGTTTATTTCTTCGTTAATAATTTGTGTAAAAATGATTTCATTCTTGATTTCGTTATGTCAAGAAAAAATCAGGTAATTCCTGTGTTTTCTTCTCACTTTTCCATATTCATTTAAATTCTTCATTAAATTGTATGAGGAGAACATAAAACTTTGCTGTTGGTTATGTTTTTAATCATTTTTGGATCAATAAGAGAAACTTAAATTGGCTATGAATGAATTTAGTGATCAGGAACTGATTGGAATGCGTCTCTGAAGTCCCCACAGAATATATTTATCCTAACCTGAGCTTTAAAATGACAATCACATTCTAAAAACCATGATTTAAAATACTTTCATTATTCATAAATGAACCAATTCAAAATATTTTGTAGGGAACAAAAATAAGATATTACTAAAAATACTAATATTAAAAAAAATAATCTAAAAAAATCTGCAAATTCAAAATGAACCTCGGCTCATATGTTTCTGCTCTGGTGACCTCACCTGCTGGAAGGTGGCCTCCTCCAACCCGAGCCGGCGAAACTCTGCGATGACGGCGCGCAGGAACAGCTGCTCCTGCGTGGACGCACACCTGAAAGCACGCAGTGGTCACCTGACCCGCTCACAGCGTCTGAAACCCCAAGAGAGCGTCGGAAACCTACTTGATGGCGCTGATGTAGGCCGAGGAAAACATCTCGTTCAGCGCCTCCATCACGTGACTCATCCCCACCAATCCCAAGGCAGAGGGGTCCGAGGCCGACAGCTCGCAGATCTCCGTCGCCCGGCGACAAATGTCCAAACACCGGCGAGCGTCACCGGACAGGGCCGCCACCTGCCCAGCAGAGACACATATGAGACAGAGAGGGGGAGGGTGGGGGGGGGTCCTCCATGGGATGGGAGCGGGAGAAGTAGCTCACCTTCCTGGACACCAGCTGCAGGGCGTCCTCCTCGAAGGCCTTCAGCCTGTTCAGCCGCGACGTGATGATCTGCTGCAGCTGCTTGAAGCCGTACGGCTGGAAGGACATCCGGGTCAGACCCTGAAACGGACACAAAGCAGCTGAGCCGCCGCCCCACGCCACACCTCCTTTCCAACAAACAAACAGTCCTCACTTGGATCTATTACTAAAAGCCAACGTCTCTTCTAAATCTCCTACTTCTCAACACAACACACTCCGAGGCCACGGTTCGGTTTCTCTGCAGCTGGACTCTGATCAGATTGTCTTTTTATATCCACCATACGTGGCATAAAAGGTGCGTTTGCTTTTTCAGAGTCATTCCAAGTCAATAATTACCATTAATAACTTTCCCCCCTGTGACAATGAGAGCTCAAAGAAAAATTAAGCAGGTACTTTAAAGCACAAAACCCAGATGTCCCAGATTTCCTCTAGCCCCTGAATGGATCAAATAACATGAAACTGAGATCTGAAAAGATCAAAAGTCCATGCGACCTTGTAAACTTCTCCGTGCACATCAGTACATGCGTGTCTACGTATTTAGAAGCCCCCCCCCCCTTTTTTTTCAAACAAGAACTGTGGAAATTGTTCAAGTTAATTTTACACTTTCAGATCAAACGAAGCCAGAAGATTAAACCAAAGGTGGCTCCAAACTGGGAGGGGAGGTGGGTGGGTGGGTTCATGTTGTGGGACGCATTCAGGACGCCTCACCAGCCTGCTGGCCACCCTATTGATCATGATCCTCTCCGGCAGGTCCATGGTGTTGGCGATGGTCAGCACCACTAGGCGGGCGTGGCGGCGGGTGGGCCAGTCAAACAGGTTGTACATCACGTTCTGCTTCCTGGTCCACAGCAGGTCGAGCTGCAGGGAGGCAAACGCACAAACACATCCTGAGAGGAGAAGCAGCAGCAGCTCTCTTTTAGGTTCATTCTGACTTCTGACTCATTTCATTTCCCCCCTCCTTTCATACCTCCCTTTTCTCACCCTCCTCTATCCATTCCTCCCCCCTTTTCCTTTCCCTCTCTCCCCTTTCGCTTTCCTTCCCCTTTTCTCTCTATCCTTTCCTGTTTTCTTTACCCCTCTCTCTCTTCCTCCCCTTCCTTTTCTCTCCACTTTCCATTTCCGTTCCCTCTCTCCTTCCCTCCCCTTTTTTTTTTAACTTTCTCCTCTCCATTCCTCCCCCTCCTTTCTCCAGTTTTCCCCTTGTCTCTCTCTCCCTTACTTCTTTCTCTCTTCATTCCCTTTCTGGTTTCTTTACCGTTTCCCTCTCTCCATTCCTCCCCACTTTCCTTTTATCCCGCTTTACCCCTCCTTTCCCCTCTCTCTTGCTCCCCCTCTTCTTTTCCCTCTCCATTTCCTTTCCCTCTCTTCCTTCCAACCCCTTTTCCGTTTTACCTCCATTGTGTTCACTTCCACTTTTCCTATCTCCTCTCACCCCCCCCCCCCCCCCCCCCTCCCCCTTCCCCGTCTTACTCCGTCCACCAGCCGAACTCTCGTCTCCTTTCTGGGAGCGGGGTTGCTGAATCTCTTCTCCAGCAGCGCCGCGGCGTGGTCAGCCGTAGCCTTTTGACCCGTCAGCTTCTGCAGGAACAGCGAGCTCAGTGAGAGGCCCGTTTAACAGACTAACTGCCTTCTGTCCTTAAAACGGGTTCAAAGAGCCCAGTCAAAACCAGACCTGGGCTTTTTCATGAAGATAACCCAGTCATTCAGAGCAGAACAAGGCTTTCCTGACTACAAGTGAACTTTTATCCATGACAGAAATAAAAAAAGAGAAAAAAAAAAGCATAATTTGAACCCTGAATTTGAGTAACACCTCATTAAAAGTAACAGAAAAAACATCTGGAAAGCAGCCGTAAGATGCCCCAACCTGCAGGATCTGGACATAGGCCTGGTGGGGGTCCGTCATCTTCATCCCGTTGATCTCGATGAAGCAAAACGGGGGGACCTCGTCCATGTCTGCCGCGTGCTGCAGGCAACGCATCACCTCGTGGACGGTGGCGGTTTTTCCCGTTCCCGGCACACCTGAGATGTACATGCACCTGAACACATCACCAAGAGGCTGCAGAGTCAGTCATGACCTTATTTTGAACCCCCCAAACAGCCCCCGACTTCAGCCCTCGTCTTCTAAGGTTTTGGTCTGGTTTAAACTGTTCCAAATGGCCTCTTTATGCCGTGTTTGATGTGTAAGTTTGCAGCCAATAGGAGCTCAGGAGTGTGATCTCACCCCCCCGTGCCGTCAATGATCTTGCTCTCCACAAAGCTGTAGATGTCCTGGAACTCCTGCTCCCTGCAGGGCAGGGACTCTGGCACCGAGGACACGTGCAGCCTGAGACAGCCACAAACACAAAGCAGCGAACAGGAGCAAAGAAACACGTCAGACGTGCAACAGAGAAGCCGTCGTGGTTTAAATCCACCCAAAAATCAGGAGTTTTATATTCAAAACGCTCCTGTAATTTCAGAATGCGTCTGACATAGAGCAGCATATATCTGATGGCTGATGAGGTCATAAAAAAAAAAAATTACAAGCAGAAAAAAAAGGAAGTAGTCTTGCTTTTTCAAACCCACTCTGATTGAACATTTATGATAAAAAAAACAGCGCCTATTAAAATCAAAACATGAATTTGGAAAAATTGTAACTGATTTTAACCTTTAACTGCGAGAGCTGATTGGAAGCAGCTCATCTCGCTTATTCTCATTATTTTCAGCTTTTTTCCCATTTGAACTGCTGTATAATGACAAAACTGACATTGACAACAACATAAAATCATTTAGCTCATCTGTGGAGAGCAGAAAGCTTCAGAAATCCTGTTTAAGTGTGCTAACATCTCATTTTAAAGGACATTCATCAGAAAAAGTTAATCAAAAACAACTAGAAACCAAAACAAAAAAGCAGAACCCCCCCGCTCAGGGGTTTACGATCCGGGCCCACCTGGTCCTGGCTTCCTCCAGCACATTGGCGGGTTGCCGGGCCGGCAGCGCCCTGCTGGGGATGCTGGGCATGGCGTTCCTGGGGGTGCGCGGCGTGCCCGGCGCGCTCTGTGGAAACAGAACAGGTGCTGTGAGGAGGCTTCCAGATGTTTCCAGCTGCCCGTGCTCATCCCCAGGTCATTCGATACAACACTGCCAGCTTAAGGAGGCTTAAGCCACCCTGAGGGACATTAACCATCTAAAGTGCTTGTTTGTTCAGATGTCTGGCTCATGAATCTATTCTGAGAGGAGAAGAAGAAGAAAACAGGCCCTGAATCGTCCCTTCTGGGAGTGGCAGCAGCGGAAAACTCCAGATCATCAGTTATTGATCAACATGAACTCTGCTCACTAATCAGAGCCCAGCCCTGAACGCTGAGTTTATAAGGAGGAAAACCCAAACTGAGCTCTTCCAGTTCCTTTCTGTCTTTCTGTGTTTTTATCAGCTTTAGTAGATCTGATATGAGAAAGTCTCCTGTTCTGCGTTGTTCTGGCTGAAAGCTGAATCCGCTTACACAACAGTGACTCCTGCGATTGTCCTTCTTCAGACCTGCAACGGGCTGCATGGTGCTGTGGCCGTTATGGCGGGCTCCGAGTGGCGCTCAGTGGTGGTTCTGAACCGACCCAAAGAGGAGCTGTAGGACCGGCCTACGTACTGCTGATGTGAAAGAAAGTGGACCTAGTTCTGGCAGCAAATGCTCAGCAGGAGTGGAGCTGCTCACAGAATAATGTTTTCTTTTGATTTTAAAGCATAAAAATTATGTTTTGACTGGTTATGGCTGGACCACCCCCCTGTTAAACCCCGATAAGGCCGTGGTGACCCTCACCTTCCTGCTCGGGGTCTTCCTCGGCGTTCTGTTTGAGAGGCGGGTTTTCCGGCTCGACCGTGGCGTGCGACATCCCGCCGCTCCCCGGCTCCTCTTCGCCACCACGTCCTCATCGCTGTCCAGGCCTTCCTCCTCCCCATCGCCCTCCTCCTCCTCCTCGCTGCTGCTTTGCAACTCCTTTTTGGAAGGAACAAACTCGTCTTCGTCTTCTCCATCTGAGTCCAGCTGGCCGTCCAGAAGACTCCTGAAAATACAGGCAGCACATTTTGAATTAAAATCTAGTTAAAATCATAAATATAGAGGAGAAAACAAATGGTTTGAGCCAAAGATAACGTCCTCCTCACCTTGATCAAACCTTAAACCTATCTTGTCAGATATAATCTGTATTTTCTGACTCCTTTTCCTTTAATATTTTGTCTTTTTGTTTTCTTTCCCATCACTTTGGACGACTTTACTGTTACTTTTCATTTCAAGCGAATTATTACAAATCTGAGCAGGAAACAGCTAAAGATTTTTTCACTCACAAACACATTTAAAGAACAATTTTTAAAACTTATAAAAATATTACAAATGTCAAAATCTTAGAAAGATAATTTAAAAACATTTTTAAAATTTTTAAAGAAATAAAAAAACAAACACCTGCATCCTTCAGACTAGACTGTTTTTCCAATTTCTTCCTGCTCAAAACTGGCAGATTCAGGTAAATTATTGATATTCAGTCTGGTTTTAACACCCAATAGACACCATTTAAGAACCAGTTTGTTGTTTCAATCAAAACTTTGGACTGGAGCTGAATGGAGAGTCGGAGAGGCTGAAACTGGATGCCGCGCCAGCTTAAATCCTTCAATAAACAACTTAAATAGAAGAACTGATGTTTGTTCCGTTCAGCTACAGAAAGATGGAGGGTGGACACGGTCACCACGGACCACTCACAGCTGCTTCCGGATGCGAGACGACACCTTTAAGGCCGACTTCCTCCTGGAACTCCTCGGTGTGGCGGCCACCGGCAGAACTGGGGAGCCCTCATCGTCCACCTCGGCCCTGTAAACCATCACAGGTTAATGAAACCACCGGAAAAAAGACAAACCGTCCTGAAAACATCTCTGAAGCAGATCCTGATGTAGGACTTTAAGAAGCCAATGGCTCCTTTGTTTAATTTCTCCACTTTAAGGTTTTACCACCCGAGTCAATCCTAATGCTGAACTGCCCCCTCATGGCCAAACTGAGAACTACAACAACTCGGAGCTCTGGGCTTAAACTGTTCATTAACCTGCTCAAACAGATGAAAACTTGCCCCAATCAGCATTCGCTTAGCTGTTATTCTCTCCATAGTTTATGAAAAATACATTAAGATGCTTCAAATTGTTTCAGCACAATTACTTAAAAGTATACAGGAGATAAACATTAGATGAGACACCAAACTGACCAAACAAACCCGGTTTGTTTGTTTTCAGCATGAGGAGACAAAACCTGTCAGAAAACAGACTCACAGGACGCCCAGAGCCGGCTCCTTCACGGGTTTTGGGTCCTTCCTCCTGGAGGGGGTGGCGGCTCTGTTTGAGGGGAAAAACATTTATTCAAGCAACTTGTTTCATTAAATGACTGGGCTGTTTAAAACATGGGTGAACGATTCGAGGTGGAAATTACAGTCGAAACTTTACACTATGTCACATCTTTTCATTAAACTGGAGCATTTTTAGCAGAGTGATGTAATTATTTCTGTCCGCCACTTAAGAAGCAGCACGCCAAACGCCTCTGACCTGCTGGCGTCCTGAGCGGCGTGCGCCCTGTCCGCCCTCCTCAAGGGGGTGAGGCTGTAGGTGAGGGTAGGGGAGCGAGGCGGGGAGGAGGCCACTGCCTGCATTTCCTCGTCCAGCAGCCGGTTCAGAGCCTCCTCTTTAGTCTCCGGGGGGTTAGCGGGGCGGCTGCCTGGCGACGCCTGCTCACACTCGCTGTTCAGCTGCAGCTTCTTGCGGACGCCGGGCGTCCTGGCGCTCAGGCCTCTCCTCTTGGCGCTGAGGCATTTGGACGCCGACAGTTTCGTGGCCGAGTGGAGCGACTCGGCCTCGGCGGCGGCTTTCCCGGCGCTCACGCTAACCCTGCTGCACCTCACCTCGGCCATCGCCGCCCGGCGCATGACAGTGAGGTCCGGCGTGGGCAGGGCGCGGCGGGGGGGGCCTCTGGAGGCCGGGGCGGCCGCCGGCGGGGAGCGGGGGGGCGATGGCGGCAGGGAGGGCTTGGAACAGGGAGGAGAATTACAGCCAGACTCCACCAGGGCCGAGTCCACCACCCCGAAGGCCTTGGAGTCCCAGGAGAGCTTCACGTAGAGCGTTTCCTTGTCGTCCGAGTCAGGAAACGGAGCGGCGGCGTCCAGGTGCTTCACCTGAGGGGCGAAAGGGGGACGAGCCTCAGCAGTTCTGAAAATGTACAGCTACCTCCGACCAAAATAAGCCACCGAAGACCCTCCAGGAAAACAGGTTCACTTACTTTACAGTCTGACTTCTGATAAACAAATAAGAATAAAAAAAGTTACCTAATGAAAGGGCACTAAATGATCATTAATCTGGGATCAGACTCATCTGATTTGAGTCTGAATTGTTTGGTTAAGGGTCTCTGGCTGGGCTCTGAGTTTTCTCCCCGTTTAGTTTCTGATGAATTGCGAGCGGCAGGCGGAGCCTCACCTGCACGGGTCTGAGGATGGACTCGGCGTTGACCTCGTCGTCACAGCTGCGTCCCTGATACAAGAAGATCTCCTGCGGGTGGGGCACTCTGCCCAGCAGCTTGAGTTTGCCCAGAGGCACTTCGGACACCCGGACAAACCACTGAACCACCGCTTTCTTCTGGGCCCCGCTCTCTGAAACAGCAGCCGGACATTTTGGGTCACCTTCGGGTCCAACAAACCCAGTCAGCTCTTTTTGCGGCTTCACAGAGGAAACTCACCGTCACCCAGCAGCCGCATGACTTTGGCCACATACGGGTTGTCTTCATCGTCGCCCTCGATGAGGATGTGCTGGCCGGCTTTAATGACAACCGTCCGCGGGAGGCCTTCCACTCTGATGGCCAACGAGCTGAGAAGAAAGAGGAGCAGGAATTTTACAGCTTTCATCATCAAATCTTCAAAACCTGAACGTCTCCCAGAGCTGTCTTCCCCACTGACCTGACACTGACCAAATATTTGATGCTGATGCAGACATGCCAAATACGATTAATTAAATCTGATTTAAAAAAAATTTAAAAAGTCATAAAAAATATGATCTTCAATTAAACAAAAAATTTAATGTATCAAATCAAATCAAAAATCAAATCAAATCAATCAAATTAAATTATGCAAAAACTGAGCTGAACATTTTAATGTCAAATATTAAAAGAAATAATTCTAAAAATAGTTACAAATTTAATTTAATTTAGATTAAATGAATAAATAAAACCCAACAATTTCTTGAATCCAGGGCTTTCTGTCTGACAAGGATGTTCAGCAGCTTTATTTCTTCAATCATCTATTAATGAGGACAAGATTCACTGCTAGTAACACACTTCTGACGTCAAATATGGTGTTCATTTGTCAACCAGAATTGATTTCCTTACCCACGCTTGGTGGAAAAATGTACATTAAATGAATCAACTTGAACTTTTTCAGTTTTTTTCAGTTTAATACGGCTTCAATAAAGTTGAGTTTGCTAAAGAATGTAATTCAAAAATTCAGACGGAGGAGAAGGCGCTAAGAAACCACAGTAAAAGCACAAAAACAAATAGAGGGGGAAAAGTCAAACTGACCCGTATTCGTAGGTTTTGAGCTTCCTGTTGAAACTCAGCGGCTCTCCACGCCACTCATAAAGCCGCCTGACTCTCAGTCTGGTAAAATATTTCATCCCGTTTCCCTCCTGTCACCCCAGCAGGAGCCCGGACAATATCTAAAAATCCTCTGGCTAAAGAATGAGATCGAACCAGAAAAAATCTGCACTTTCTACGCCAAAAACCGCAATCAAAGAGGAAAATAGAAAAGTTTACTCAAGAACAGACAACTGCGTTTCCCGGGAAAATTGTTCTTCTGTGAAAAAAACAAAAAAACGAGTTGAGCTTGAACGTCACTGCCACCTGCCGACAGGAGGTGGATCGTGACGCCAAAGTTAAATAAAATAATAAAACTCTTTTCAAATACAAAATTAAAAAATCTGGGATCCAGCATCCCCGTCACCTTGTTGGGAATAAGTGGTCCCGAAAATTGATGGATTATTTAAACCACTCATATTGAAACAAAATTAGATGGAATACATTTTGGTTTGCATCTTCTTTCTGGAGACGATGGAGGGCCAGCTGGGTCTCATAAACAGCCTGTCACAAACAACAGCATGTCACATAGACACATCAATTGTTCCCATTTTTTAAGTTGATGTGATTGTAACCATTTGAGGGGCAATGGATTGTTTGCGATATTCACTTTATTTGCTTTAAATTATTTATCTATTTCGTTGGCTAACAATTTATTCGTTTTTTAATCGGTTTTCCCCAGGGAGTCAAACAGGGACCTCTCTCTTTTTTTAATAAAATTATAACTTTATTCCAAATTATTTGAACCGGAAGCGTTTTTCTATTTGATTTCCTTTTCCGTTTTCCGGTAGTGTTGTTTTTTCCTCCAATTCTTTGGCCCATGCTAGCAAACTAACCCTGTTTATCTCCGATGGCAAACAGAACTGTTAAGGATGCCAACAGCATTCATGGGACCAATCCTCAATATCTGGTGGAGAAAATCATCCGGACCCGAATCTACGAGTCCAAATACTGGAAGGAGGAATGCTTTGGGCTCACCGGTGAGCGGCGGGTTAGCCGGGAGCTAGCGGTAGCTAGGCTAATTTGGAAAAGACGAAACTATAGACTTAATCGTTTCAGGAAAATGAATGAAAATCTTCGTCTAACGGCTGTTTTCTTGATATATTCAGAGATTTTATCAACATTAGGGAAGATCGATTCGTTTATACAACACATTAGAGCTAACAACAACACACATGTATTTTAAAATATATTAATTATTTGATTTATGGTGACTGGAATAAATTAATCTGGTTTGTGACGTGACTAGAAATGTCATCACCTGCTGGAAACAGCACCAACTCACCTGAGCTGGTAGATCTGACCGAAAACAGCAGCTTTTAGGACTTTGACTAATAAAATATTTGATAAAGAACGTGATCTTTGTCAATTGTGTTGGCCCTTTAATTAATAAACATGATCAAACTGAATTATTAGAGCTGCCTTTAAGAGTCAACTTAATCTAGACCCTCTAAAGATGTTGTGTTATGTGGAAACTGTCAACAAATGTGTGCATAAAGGTCTAAACAACATATCTGCATCTAAATCACAGCATAAACTTTTTAAATTCTACAGTCTGAAATATTTGGACTGTCAATCGTCCCAGTGTTGTTTTTGCTGTGGGTGTTTAACCTTGTTTGCTCAGGTTCTCATGTTTTATTTGGGTTTGTGTCGTCTACAGCTGAGCTGGTGGTCGATAAGGCCATGGAGCTGAAGTTTGTGGGAGGAGTTTTTGGTGGCAATATCAAGCCAACACCCTTCCTCTGCCTCACGCTGAAGATGCTACAGATTCAGCCGGAGAAAGATATCATCGTCGAGTTCATCAAGAACGAGGATTTTAAGTGAGTTTCCGTTTGAGAGGGAGACATCATCCATTGTTCAACTTTTAAGAGAATCAGCAATTACAAAAGCCATTATCAAAATTAAAACAAAAGTATAAACATAAGTAACTATTTAACAAAGTAAGTAACTGTCTGACTAATTAAATGTGTCACTGTTAATCTAATTAGATAATGACTGTTGTCTCTTTCCAATTTTCTCTCTCTCTCTCTCTCTCTCTCTCTCTCTCTCTCTCTATACACATACATACATACATATATATATATTTATTTATACATATGTGAAAAAGACAAATGATTCAGACCATTCAGGAAAAAACTCTTTAAACATGGCAGAAGATGAAACCTTGTCGTTGTTATTTGGATTTAACCAATGTGAAAGTTCAGCCTCCTTTTCCTGTCTCTGTTTGTCAGATACGTCCGTCTGCTGGGAGCGATGTACATGAGGCTTACCGGCACCGCCGTGGACTGCTACAAATACCTGGAGCCACTGTATAACGACTACAGAAAGATCAAGAGCCAGAACAGAAACGGAGGTGAGGAGTCGTTTGTTTCTCATCCTGGATGACCAAAGTCATGCTCCATGTTTCACAACCATCCTCAGAAATCCAGACTTACTTTAGCTGTCCTCCTGCCAAACCTAATAGAAATCAAAGCACATTTAGGGAAACACTCCTCCCCAGAAAGCTGTGGGAGCACTTTGTTGTGCAAAATCAGTATTTCCTGCTCAGTGACAGCTCGGTTACAGATATCCGATTGGACCAAGGCCAGTGGCAGGCATGGTGTGCCTTTGGTTTTGCCTTCCCATTGGTGGCTTTGATGCCAACAAAACCATGTTAGCCTGATTGTTTTGGATGAAATGGATTCACCCAGGGGAAAAAAAGAGTTATTTGATTTGTAGGGATCTGAAGCTAGACTGGAGCTTTCTATACATTCAACGAGTGTCTAAAGAATTCTGAGGTGGTCTTAAAACGTCTGTTTCCAAAATACTAGTCATAGATTCTGTTTCTCTGCAGCTCCGACTGTCAGAATTTAGGCCAGAATAAAACAGGCCTGAACAGAGAGCCTGATGGCGTGTGCTTGTTTGCAGAGTTTGAGCTGATGCACGTTGACGAGTTCATCGATGAACTTCTCCACGCAGAGAGGGTCTGTGACATCATCCTTCCCCGCCTTCAGGTGCGTCAGAAAAATAAATGTCAAAGAGAAGGATATTTCATTTTAGCTCCGTAAAGGTGGAAAGACATCAGAAAATTCAATTCTCCTGATTAAAATCTGAGAAAAAGTCCTCTGTAAATATCTTTGTCCTTCTGTGACTCAGAAGAGACAAGTTCTGGAAGAAGCGGAGATGTTGGACCCACGGATCAGCGCCCTGGAGGAGGACCTGGACGAGGTGGAGAGCAGCGACGAAGAAGACGAGGAGGAAGAAAAGGTAATTCCCATCCGACACTTAGAAAATCTTGTGAAAAATGATCCACTTTGACCCTTATTTTGCTCCATTTGGGACAGAAAATCATTTTGTTTTGTTACATAATTTTTCTGTTGACTTTCGAATGAATCATTTAACATTTAACAGCATCTGCTATTCTAAAGATATTCTAAATGTATAACACTGAATTGTTAAATTGTGATTTCACATTAAGTTATCATAAAATATATATACATTTTTTTTAATCTATTCTTTTTTGCAACAAATTCCCATCTTTACAATAAGTAAATAAAATAAATTGGAAGAGAGGAGTTAATAAGAATAATACCTAATAATAATTATCCATCTTATCTGAATGAATGTGGAAATGATTGGGGGATCAATGAGGGTAAAAAAAAGTTTAGTAATTATTGTATTTAGATACATTCAAAACTTTATTGAATAGAAACATTTTTAAAGAAATGAACAAGGTTAAAAGATCAAATAAGCAAGTACACTTTTAGAAGATAAATGGGTAAAAACAAAGTTCTTGACAGGCTGGAAAAGCCTGTTTTCAATTCCAGGCCATCTGGACTGAGTTTCCATGAGCCTTAAAGCTCTGATGGCCGGCACAGCATTTGGCTTTTGAATGCACCACGAGCAGCAAAGAAAGTTTTCAGATGAGTTTACACACTTTTTCTCCCTGTAAAATGTTTTCTTTTTGTTTTACAGCCGGAGAGACTTCAGACCCCTGAGCCTCACAGACGCAGTTACCGTGACAACGACAGACCTCGCCGCTCGCCATCACCGCGCTACAGACGCAGCCGCTCGCCCCGCCGGTTTGTTCCGTCCTGTATATGTGAACAGTGTTGGACATTTTCTGATCCAAAGGAGTGATTCATGGTTCTGGTTTGTACTCCACAGGCGGAGCAGATCGCCGAAGAGACGAAGGTACGACTGCTTTGGCTTTGAATGCATCACATGCTCTTTTTTAAAAACATTTTCCTAAGACAGTAAAAGAGGATTAAAGCCTCCAAAATGGATCCTTTTTCTGATAAAAGCCAAATGCTTCCCTCAAAAAATGATTGTTAAACCAGAAAATGAAACCACTAGGAAAGATTAAAAGTAAATAATCTTTTGATATATTCTCTTACCTTTAGCAAGTCTGGATGATATCAGTATCCCTCTGAGAGCTTTATCAGCCGTGGTTTTAAATGTAAATCAGCAAACAGCCGCTTCTGGGACCGAACGAGCCCCATTTCCCTCTGAAAACCACAGATATTGATTTAAATATTTTTCCTGGTTGTCTGCTGTCTGTCACAGGTATTTAAGCAGTGACAGCTTAGAGCTGTTTGAGAGAATGATCAATAATCAGTATTATTGGTAGACATAGAGTACGCCCATGTTAGGCCAATTTGTTTGGCTCTTAAGATATTTTTTGTGAAAAAACAGATGGTCTGGAGGGTTTGTAGAGCTGTCCCAAATGGTGACTGTTTTCCTGGTCGTGTTCTGTTGACTTGAAACAGCCCGTCCCCCCGCAGAGACCGCCACCGCAGCAAGAGCCCCCGACGCCACCGCAGCCGGTCCAGGGACAGACGCCACCGCTCCAAATCCCCCGGTAGGTGCACCTCTGTACACCCCCTCTGACCCAAAACCCTGATGCCTCACCACTGCTTTTGTTTCTAAATGCCGCCATGTCACCGAAGAAAATATCAACCTCAAAAATATAAACCAAATATCTTTCTCGTCAGTAACAGACTACTTTTTCTTTGGACATCGGAGCATTTGAAATGAATCCAAACTTCCCAAGTATGAAAACTGAACTGAAAATCTAGCCTGAAAATGCTCCTCTTTCATACAAAAATTGAAAATGCGTAAAACATCTCAGATTTAACATGTAGCCACCGAACAAGAAACAAATTTCCCATTTTGATATTGCTCATTGAGGAATTCCCATAAAAAAATCCAAAAGCCTCTTTGGCTGCATGTGGCACAACTCAAAGCTCCTAGTTTATGTCCATCTTTGATCATCAGTCTGAGATGATCTGAGAGAGCCTCAATCTGATGCTAAACCAAAGAATCTGTTTATAAGTGACTGTTTGTGTGTTCCAGGTCACCACAGGAGCCACAGACATCGCAGCCACTCAAAGTCTGCAGAGAGGTAGGAGCTTGCAATGCAGTTCAGCTGATACGTGCACACATTTCAGTTAAATCCCGCCTTTCATGGATAGAGCTTCTCTGCTTCATTTATTTGACAATTAACAACATCCAGACCAGCTTTAAACGAGATTTTATTAGATATAAGGTATTTAAAATACACTTTGCTGCTTTTTGTCTCACAGGAGTTCAAAGAAGAGTCATAAGAAGAGCCGAAGAGGAAACGAGTGATCTCTCTCGTTTTTTATTTTTGCTTGTTTCCGTTTTCCTTTCTTTTTTTTTTTCTAAAAAAAAGCAACCTGTAAGCAGTCAGAGATCCGGTGCTCTGAATCTTTAGTTTTAAGTCAAAGACTTGTGGACCACTGAGGGGTTTGTGATCTCTGAAGGTTTTCCTCAGTCTGTAAATCATCCCAGATGTGTAAATACGGAAACATTCTTCAGATTCTGTACTTTAGGCTCTGACCTGACATTTGTCCTGTGAATAAAGTCGCTGATTTATGTTGGTTTTTCATCTTTGATGCCTCCTGGTTGTGTTTTTGGGGGACTTTAAATATCACAGAAAGGGGTGGATGTAGCTCAGCAGAACTTTGTTCTTTTTCTTCAAAAAGAGGAGACCTCTGTCGGCCTGAATTGAACAAATTCGGATCCAGAGAAAAGAAACAACTCAAGATTCCTTGATAGAAATTTAGATCTCCTGTCATGCCCTCTCCTCTCAATAGACACATTTTGGCTTTAATATTCCACCAAACAGAGCCTTGACGCCAAGATAGTATGTCTTCTCTGCTGTTTCCTCTGGATTCCTCCTACTTGTCCATGAAAATGCAAGTTATGTTATTTGGCCACTAAATTGTCCCTAGGAGTGACAGTGAATGTGAGTGTGTGTGGTTGTTTGTATCTGTGTGGCCCTGCGATGGACAACCCGCCCAGGTTTCTTCACCTCTCACCCATTGTGGGATAGGCTCCTACGACCTCACTGGGAACAAACGGGTAGATAATTGATGCTTCCATTGCACCGGTCATCCAGATCTCACTCCAACCAGTTTGAGTGTTTTATCTTTCTTATTGCTAACAATCTGCCATACAAACAGTGTTTCATTTAATACCATACTTCTCCCTCCTCATCTGTCATATGATCGATCTCCAGATGCGGGTAAACTGTCAGGGATTTAGCTTATCCTCCCTAACTTGAACAACTTAAGTTTAAAAAAACCACAGAGACACACGCGCTGTTTTCTTGACTTCTGCAGAAAGGGGAGAGCTCTCTCAAAGTGAGATTCATGCAAATCCAAAGCTCCTACTGCAGCAGTCCATATTTATTGTAGCGTTGAGGCTGGGGGGTACAATTATTGCTCAACATATAGTAATGTACATATGGAGAGGTTAAATCAGCAAGTCTGGGGTCACAGGTAGTGCGTGACCCAAAACATTCCAAAATATAAAAAGTGAAGTGAGACAAAACAAAAGTGAGTAGATCATGACCGGAAACATTCCGCGTTATAATAAAGACACATCTTATGAGATAATAACAATAAATCTCCAACATAAACCTCTTCAGCAGTGACTGGAAAAGCCAGTGTAGGGCCCCAGACAGCAGGTTTCACTGGACCATCATCTCCTCCAGCGATCGTGGGGTTTTTCATCATGGCCACAAAAGACAAAGCTCTCAGATTATGTGGTGACATTCAGGGTAAAAATCAGGTGACCATTAAGAGCAAACATCCCCAACTTTTCTTCTGTTCTACTGACTGAAGAGTCAATAGTTTTCTCAAAGCTAGATCTCCACAATGCTGACCATCTGGTCAGAATTTGTAAAGGAGATGAGGCAGTACCCCTTTAGGACACTTGGAACATATTCATGACAACTAAGATAAGTCAGACCTTTGCAAATGTTGGAATGCAAAACATTTTTTGTATTTTATCTTAAATTTTCCAATGTGATTCAGTCAGTTATTCATTTTCAATATTTTACTTTTTGCCTAAAACATGCCTCATGAATTCCTGCTTTGTTTCCTGTTGCGTGTACATGCCTGATGAATTTTATCAGACAATATTTGCATGCTGCAAGATGAAGAAAAGTTGTTGGAAAGTTTATTGAAATTACGTTTTTTAATGCATAGAACTCTTACAGAATATGCAGAAGCATAATACTTTCCAAATGTTTTTGGTGGTGTTATTGCAGTTTCCATGCAGCCTGCTATTACTACATGCATCTGTCACAACGTGTGCATTTAGAGACTACAGAAATGCAATTCTTAAAAGTACAAATAAATTACTTTTTAAAAAGAAAATAAAACATGTGAACATCAGAATAAACTCAATTTATCTACTCAGTATTGAGATTGGAGGGCTTTGTCTTTAGATCTGGAGCCTCTGTCTTTAAGTACTCATATGGACTTGTAATTGCAGATTTTCCAGAAACTCTTGGACTTCTCTACACATCCTGTTTCTGCTCTGTTCTGCGATCTTCTTCAGTTCTTTGATGCTGTTGTGCCGGTAAGAGCTTCGTTGACGAATCTGTGCTGCTTTCATGTGGTACCGAGTGGACTTCTCTCTCTCCTTTCGGTGAAAGTACAAGTACTTAGCATATAAGTTGTAGAGCATCTGTCTCTCTTCGTCCTCCAGATCTCTCTCTAGCAGCTCCTGGTAAATCCGATTTGCCCTCAGCAGCCCCTCACTCGACTTTGTGTGAATGATTGCAAGATCAGTTTCCCAGAAGACTGAAAAATGAGGGTAAAGAGAGATCAACTCCTCATACAGACTGACGGCTTTGTCTATCATTCTCTGATTTGGTTGGCTGTCTCTGGAAAAAATTATTTTCCATTTGTAGGTCAGAGCAGCACATCTCTTCAGGTAGCGCTCATCTGGATGGTTCCTCAGGGCCTCCTCTGCCACTTCGATGGCCTTGTTGTAGAGATCGAGCTGTCTGAACAGCATCAGCAGCAGTTTAATACCGCTGTAGCTGCTGACAGGATTGACTAAGATTTTTCCTGTCAACTCTTCTGCTTCATCTGTAACTGCCTCCCCTCTCTTGGCACGTTGCTGAAGGACAAGAGCAGCAA